GCATCACTCACCATGAACTTCGAACCTGTCAACGCCATTGAACGCGCTCGGGACAACCTCGCTGCACTACGCCAACACCGCTCCGTAGCCGAATACGTCAACCGTTTCCGGGAGTTGGTGCTGGAGATTCCTGATATCCTTGCCTCCGAACAGACGGATAAGTTCAAGCGCGGGCTGAAACCAAAAATTCGCACCGAAGTGGAGCTTCGCGGATGTACGTCGATGGATGTATATGATCCGTGTGGCGGAACGCTTCGACATGATTAACTTCACTGCGTTTCAACGCTTCAAGGAATGAGGATGGGTCACACGAATCACACTCCAGCTGCTCGTGCAAGCGGCCCTACACCTATGGAGCTGGGAATGATGAAGAGGCAGCCGCGAAATGCTTCAAACGTCATGTGCTACCAATGCGGGAAGATTGGGCACATCAAGCGTAACTGCCCGAATCGTCGCAACCCAAACGAAGGATGGGGAAACGGACAGCGCCAGTAGCAGTGGGGCAGACCTCTGGCGCATCGCATGCCCCGCTTCTCCCGACCCCATTATTCATCGGCACCTCTGAACTCTACACCATATCAAACACTCCATTCCCCGCCATCATTCTCTACGCAAAAATAAAAGACCGCTACGTTGACTTTTTACTTGATACCGGTGCCTCAGCAAATTTTCTCTCTCCCTCAATCGCCGCTGAACTTTCTCTTCCCGAAGATCCCAACAGCAACCCACAGGACGTCATTACGGCAGATGGTACTTGGCGGCGCTGCGGACCTACCCTCCTCCCCGTGCACTGCATGTTTGGAAGTCTCGAGGTGACGGTTCGTTCGAGCAAATGCACCTCGGCGGCTATGAAGGCGTGCTCGGACGACCGTGGTTGTACCAGCTTGGACCGCGAATTTATTGGCGTAACGCAACGGTCACCGTCGGCAACTACGACCTCCCGTCCCGCTCCTACCGTCGCCCATGGTCATCCCCAACCACTTCAGCGTCATCAACCCATCCACCCCAACCTGCCCCACCTCCATCCTCCCATATCCCCCCTTTCCCTCCTCCTCTCATAGCCCCCGCGCAGCAGCCAACACCACCCGGCTCCCCCGAAGTGATCAACACACCTCTTCCTTCTCCACCCCACCCAACCCAGCAGCCACGCCGTTACCTCTTTCGCCCATTCTCTGAAGTTATCAATCCACCAGCCCCCACCCCTCCTTCACCACCTCCTCCTCATCATCTCCTAGTTATCTTCACGGCTCCCGAATCTGAAGCACCAGCCACTTCTCTGCCACCAACCATACAGAAACTGCTCAACGGTTATACGGACGTGTTTCCCCGATGATCTACCCGCCGAACTTCCACCCGAGCGTGCTATTGACCATAGCATCCGCCTCATTCCAGGTTCTACACCGCCCGTGCGCCCAACCTATCGCATGAGCACTGCTGAACTTTGGAGCTACGACGACAACTCGATGACCTTCTTGAGAAGGGTTTCATCCGCCCCAGCACCTCACCATATGCTGCCCCCGTACTTTTCACTCGCAAGAAGGAAGGTGACCTGCGTCTTTGCATCGACTACCGCGCCCTCAACGCCATCACGATCAAGAACAAGTACCCGCTGCCCCGTGTCGAGGAGTTGTTTGACATGCTTGGGGAAGCAACGGTTTTCAGCAAGCTTGACCTACGATCCGGCTACCACCAGATTCGCCTCGCGGAAGAAGATATCTGCAAGACGGCATTTCGAACCCGCTATGGCAACTTCGAGTTCCGAGTACTTCCGTTCGGTCTCACCAACGCACCAGCCACGTTCATGGGACTCATGAACGATATTTTTCGGCCCTTCCTCGACCGCTTTGTCATCGTGTTCCTCGATGACATCCTCATCTTCAGCAAGTCACTCGAGGAACACGCTCAGCACCTACGCATCGTCCTCGACACGCTCCGCCAACACCGCCTCTACGCCAAGCTCTCCAAGTGCACCTTCGCCCGTTCAAGCATCGGTTTTCTCGGCCATGTCATCAGCTCCAAAGGCATTGCTATGGACCCCGCAAAGGTCCAGTGCCTTGCTGATTGGCCAGCACCACGCACGGTAGCGGAGCTGCAAAGTTTCATCGGCCTCGCCAAGTATTACCGAAAGTTCATCTTCAACTTCTCTCACATCTGCGCTCAGTCAAGGAGCTACTTTTCAGTGGGGACTACCGCAGCAGACCGCTTTCACCGCAATCAAATTAGCACTCGCCTCTGCACCGGCCCTCACCGTCGCTGACCCATCACGGCCATACTTCATATGGACCGACGCCTCCGATGTCGCTGTTGGTGCCATTCTTTGCCAAGACCACGGCCATGGGATGCAGCCACTTGCATTCGAGTCACGCAAACTTCAACCGGCAGAGCGCAACTACGCAACACACGATCGGGAGCTCCTTGCCATTGTCCATGCAATCAAGACATGGCGCTGCTACGTGGAGCTGCAGCCCGTCACCGTCTACACCGACCATCGCCCTCTTCAACACCTGAAAACACAGCCCGTGCTCAGCCGCCGCCAAGCCCGATGGGCTGAGTTCTTGGAGCAGTTTGTCCCCTCACTTCAAATCATCTACCGCCTCGGAAAGCTCAATCCAGCGGACATCTTGTCCCGACCACTACCACTAGCCCCACCACCCACCAACCAGCCCCCACCGACCACCAACCAGCTCCACCAAGCCCCAACCAGCCCCACCTCATCACCTCCACCTCCAACTCCGAACCTACCCTTGCAACTCCATGGAACCAGCAGCATCACCTGGGATAATGCCTTCATCATGAAGTTTAAGCGTGCCTACAAACGTGACCTGTTTTTTGTCAAGCAATCACCCGAGGACCCGGCCTACTCATTTGAAGACCCATTTTGGTACAACAGTGTTACGAAGACCATTTGTGTCCCTGCTGATCGCTCCTTACGGCAGCTACTACTCTCCGAGTACCACGACATCGCTACCGGCAGCCACTTTGGTGTTGAGAAGGCATTTGCTCACCTCTCCAACGACTACAATTGGCCACGCATGCATGCTGATGTACATGATTTCATACGCACCTGCCAGACCTGCCAACAACTCAAAGCACGCACCACCAACCGCTACGGACTCCTTCAGCCCATCCCTCCACCTACCAAGGTGTGGGATGAAGTCACCATGGACTTTATCATGGACCTGCCCCGCACACCCCGCAACTACAACGCCATCCTAGTCGTCGTTGACCGACTCTCCAAAATGAGCCATTTCATCCCCACGCACACAACCGTCACTGCACCCGAAACAGCCCGGCTTTTCTTCGACCACATAGTCCGCTTACACGGCCTCCCATCCGCCATCATTTCAGACCGTGACCCTCGCTTCTTGAGCAACTTTTTCCAAAGCCTCTTCAAGCTTCACGGCACCCGGCTGAAATTTTCTACCGCATATCACCCTGAAACGGACGGACAAACTGAACGGATGAACCGCATGCTGGAAGACGCCCTTCGTGCACAAGTTAACGCTCGCCAAACTAATTGGGACCTTCACCTCACCGCCATCGAACTTGCATACAACAGCACACCCCACCTTTCCACCGGCCAGCCACCCTTCTACCTCGCAACCGGACAGCACCCACGCCTCCCAACGACCCCACCCTCGCACCTCTCCCACGCACCAGCAGCCTTTGAGTTCCTCACCTCACTCGAATCAGCCATTGATGCCGCTCGCACCTCCATCCTTAAAGCACAAGCCAAACAGACCCACTATGCCAACTCCCACCGCAAAGATATCCGCTTCAAGGTTGGCGATCAAGTGTTACTCTCCACTGACCACCTACCCCTCCTACGCAAAGGCACAACCAGAAAACTTGCCCCTCGCTTCATTGGCCCATTCACCGTCACCCGAGTCATCTCACGGGTCAACTACCGGCTCCAACTGCCCAGCTATATGAAGATTCACCCCGTCTTCCATGTCCAGCGCCTCCGCCCTTTCCGTGCACCTTCACACGACCGTCCAGCCACACGCCAACTGCCACCTATGATTGTTCGAAGGCAGCCCCGGCCTGTTTGAGGTTGCATCTATCACTGCTCACCGCGACACACTTCATGGTCATGAAACGTCACTGCCCGAGAATGGCTGAAGAGTCTCGAAGTTTATTCTGGGGTATTTACCCAAATAATCGACCTCACAGTGGAGGTTGACTGTGGCATCCTGGACCACCTTCTGGGCGGCATCGGCGCAGGGTGCGCGCGATTGGAGAGGCTAAGGCTCGTGTCGACGCGCGGCAGGTTTCAGATCAGCCCGGTGACGTGGAAGAATTTTGTCGCGCAATGCCCGTGAGTGAGTGAGTGGTTTAGACTTCGAGCCGTGACGGCTTCTCGTATACTTGCTCTGCCCTTTGAGTTCGTACTCTTGTTTATCTAGCAGGTGCGTATCTCGTTAGCACTGCGCTGCGCAAAGCTGTTTGTCTCTGCTCCCCTGTTTCGCTTTGCATCCCATCTTACAATCCCCTATCACCTTCGCCAACACGGATTCGTCGCTCCCTCATTTGTAGCTCCCTCATTCATCGTTCTCTTATTCGTCACTCTCTCATTCGTCACTCCCTCATCTGTCGTTCCCTCATTCGCCTCCGTTTCTTGCGTTGCATGCACCGCCGCGTTTCTGCTCTCTTCTCTGCTCCCGCATCAAGAATCCGCTCCCGCGCGCTTTGCCTCCCGCATCCTGCCTACCTGTAATCCCTTCACCCCTTCCTCTCCCCTCCTGTCCAAGCCTTCAACCATTTCCTCCAGTGCATTCCACCACTACTTAACTCATGTCGCCGGCAATTATCCAACCCATAAAGCCCGATATGCCACTGGGCCTAAATGCTGGTTGTTCAGAAACAGAGGTAGCCTTAACCCTTTGTGTAGGTCCGCAGACGACACACAACCATGTACCCCTGCATCCCGCTTCTCCCTATCTCTTTATCCCCACCACTCGCACCTCCTCTCCTCTCCTCTCCGCCCTCCCATCAGTCTCATGACTTCACTGGAGCTTGAGTGCCGATACGCCTACACCGACCCTCTGCCTCCCCCAGTGCATACCTTCCCCACACTGCGCTCTCTCTCCATCCTCTTCGTGCCCACGCACTACCGCTTCATCTCCCTCTGCTCCTCCCTCACCTCGCTCACCCTCTTGCGCCCCTACCCCTTCGCCCTTGTCACCCTCGCATCCCGCTCCTCCCCTCTGCGCCACTCCCTCGCCGCCCTCACCATCCACAATGCCAAACTCGGAGCCGTCCTCAAGCCCCTCACCGCCTTCCCTCGCCTCACCTCCCTCGCCTTCCACTCCTGCAGCATTGACCCTTGCGACCTGCACACCTTCTCTCGCTCGCTCCACACGCTCACCCATCTAGCCATCCACGACTGCCTCATGATTCCCAGCCAATCCCTTGCAGCACTCGCTGAAAGCAACCCCGCACTCGCCTCCCTCTCCTTGCACTCCACCTCCCACTTCCTCTTCATCCCACAAGGCCTCCGGGATTTGTTCCTCTCGTCCTCCTCCCGCCTGCACACCCTCACCCTCTCCGGGCTGCCCTCGTGCCGCCAGGGCATGCTTGCACGCTGCAGCAGCCTGCAACGACTCACACTGAAAGGAAGGGGGGCGGAGAGGGAGAGTATATTGCTGTCCGAGTCACCGCAGAAGCCGTCTCTGGATTGCATTGTGGCCATGCTGGTGCACGTTGAGCAGTGGGGGATGCTTGACGGAGCACAGGGAAGGGATGATGGAGTGGAGAGATGGGAAGGGGCGATGGCTGTGGACAACCAAGGGGAAGGAAGCACCGCTGCTTCTCCTGCGGCAGCATCAGAAGAAGAAGCAGGAGATGAGTCAGACGCAATGACAACCACAGAAGCAGAAGCAGCAGAGAACGGCGAGCCAGCGTTACCTGCAGCAGCTGCCACGACGGTGGTGGCATGTGGGGGGATGACGAGGGGCAGCAGCAGGCGGCGGTACGTGGACCTGCGCAGGGAAGCAGCAGCAGAGCGCGCTGAGTTTGTGGCAGCAATGGACAACTGGATGGCTTTTACCAAGATGTCCAAGTGGAAGCTCAAAGAAGCCGCTAGAGAGGCGGTGCAGCACCGCCACATGCACCAGGGGCTGGAGGCCCTCCATTACATCCATCAGGCCGCCGTTCACGTGCGCTCCGCCATCCTGCACTGCCGCTGCGTGCGGCTGGCTAAGGCCAAGATGAGACGCAGGGGTGCACGCGACGGGGCAGTTGCAAAGGCTTGTCGTGCTGCTGATGCTGCAGGCTTTTTCACTGCAGCTGCGGAGGACGAGGAAGTGGAGGTGGAGCCAGAGAGGGAGGAGGAGGGGAGGGGAGGGGAAGGGATTGAAGCGGAGGAGGTGGTGCGATACATGCCCGAGGATGACCTGGAAGATGATCTGGCGGCCGTGAGTGAGAAGCTGCTGGCATGGGTGGCGGTGCCGCAGGCAGACGCACAGGAGCTGCTGCATGCGTTGATGGAGGTGCTGCTGCTGGACATGGAGGACATGGGCGCCCACTTCGAGATCAATGACCCTGCTCCGCCCCACCCTGTAGCAGTGCCCGCACTGGCTGCAGTGCCTAGGGCAGCGGCAGGAGGGCTGGCCACCGCAGCAGTGGGAGCTGGGGCAGCAGCAGCAATGCCTGCGCCGGCAGCACAAGGAGTAGCAGGAGGGGCAGCAGGAGAAGGGGCAGCAGCAGAAAGGGCAGCAGCAGAAGGGGCAGCAGCAGAAGGGGCAGCAACGGAAGGGGCAGCAGCAGAAGGGGCAACGGCAGAAGGGGCAGCAGCAGAAGGGGCAGCAATAGAAGGGGCAGCAGCAGAAGGGGCAGCAGCAGAAGGGGCAGCAATAGAAGGGGCAGCAGCAGAAGGGGCAGCGGCAGAAGGGGCAGCAGCAGAGGGGGCAGCAGCAGAAGGGGCAGCAGCAGAAGGGGCAGCAGCAGAAGGGGCAGCAGCAGAAGGGGCAGCGGCAGAAGGGGCAGCGGCACAGGAGGCAAGACGCGCAGAAGGAGAAGCAAGAGGGGCTGTGGGAGAGGACGCGAGAGCAGCAAGAGCATCAGAGCAGCTGCCACCGGAAAAGCAGCTTGGCGGCAAAAGCCCAACCCGCCCACCTCCACAGGGGAGCGCACCCCCCAAGAAGAGCACACCTTCAAAGACGAGCACACTGGTGACTGCTGTGGAAGTGTTCTGCCCTCCACTGGAGTCGCTAACCCTTGACACCATTCGCTTCGTCTCCACTTGTGACCGTTCCGGGCTACCTTCCCTCCCCTCTGCCTGTTCCCTCATGTGCCCCTCTCCCCCCACCACACCCTTCCCTTCTCTTCCTTCATCGTCCTCCCCCTCCTCTATCCCAAGGTTGATCAGCGAACCACAGTCCTTTGAGTCGCTGGCACGAGCTGCTGCCTTGAGAAGGCTCAAGAGCTTGGCTATCTTGAACTGCTGTGGGCTGGAGGAGGGGCAGCTGGTGACGCTGCTGCGAGCATGCGGCATGCTGGAGGATCTGCGCGTGGAAGGCTGTTCCGGGTTCTCAGACACAGTGATAGCAGGGAGTAAACTGGAGGCGTTAACTCGGTTGAGTGTGGTGGGGTGCAGTGAAATCACTGCAGATGCCATTGGAAGGTTGCTGGGGAACATGCCAAGGCTGCGATATTTGAAGGTGGAAGTGAATAAGGTTTCTCAAAGGGCTCGGCGGGAGCTGCTTCGTGCAGGAGTGCTTGTTAGAGGAGTGTGAATCCGCTTGGTTGAGGGATTTCTTCAAGCTTGCTTGTTTCTCGCGCATGCAAACATCTTCCTATAGTTTTTGATAGGCAATGCATGCTCCAGTCGATACATATGCCGTTATTGCGCAATTATACGCTCATTCATTTACAGTAATACCCAGCTCTATGACTCCAGAACAAAATGGGGTACTGTAATCTTTTGGCAAGTTTCAGTAGACCTGCACTATGGATCCCCGATGATCTTGGGGGAGGGTTACATCTCAGAGTTACGTGTGTGGGATTGTGTGTGTGACTAGAATACCATAGAATGTGTCGTGGTAGAAATACCAAACCTTAACAACTGTACCCCACATAGCACAACTCACTATATACTAGCATATTTTGACACACCCCAATAGACTAAATGATGGGTGCCAAGTCTCAATGACCACACAAGGTCACAAGACCAGTCCAAGAAACACAACACGCACAAAGCTCAAGGTGGATCACAAAGTCACCACACACACAGTCTGAGCACGTGGCCACAAGGCCAGTTCAAGAGTTTACAAATATATGATTCAAAGACATGTAAAACAGGAGACAAGACTGCAGCAACTGACAACTTGTCTCACCAAGGTCTAACTGCACACAGAACCTATGGTGGTCACTACGCGGAAGAGCCTTGGTGAAAATGTCTGAAGCGTTGGCCTCCGAGACCACGAACTCCAAACGTGCCTGCCCTGGTAGTTTGCAGCAGCTCCTCCCTGTAGCGGTACATGGGCAGGTTCTTCCCTTTCGCCTGTATCTTGTCAAATGCTGACTTGGCCTTTAATACCTCCACTTGCCACTCCCTCTCCTCCTCGTCGTCTGAACCCTCCTACACCCATTCCCACCGCATCAGACAGCCGCATTCCCCCACAATAAATAAGTTTCCAGCACCAAAAGATATTTCAAGAAAGCAAAGATATATATGAAGAACAGGCCATCACCAGGCATGACACTGTAGTGTACTCACCCTGTCACTTCAAGCTATCCTGGAATACGCACCCTATCATCGCCGGCCATTATGGTATCTTTGATGAAGTCAGCTGATCCTCAAACACATACCTATACTACTCCACCTCCACCTTGCGATCCCTATCTCTGCACATTACGAAGGGATTATGTGCTCACCTTGCTACTGCAACCTATCCTAGCCTAGAGCACTCACCCTGTCATCGCCAGTCATGCTGGTATCTCTAATGAAGTCGATCTGATCCTCGAACACATACTTGTACTGCTCTGCCTCCACCTTGCGGTCCTTAGTCCCAAAGTACCTGACGTCGATGTGCTTCACTCTGCTCTCCAGTCGAGGTTCTCGACACAGGAGAATCATGGCATCGTTGTCAGCAAACCAGGTCGGCGCAGAGCTCGGCCGTTTACAAGGTCAGTGAACAAGAAAGTCAACCAACGAAGCTACTGTACAGCCATGGCTCCAGCGTAGACTGCGCCACAGACGAAGACCAAGTAACCCTCCACGACACAATGCCAGAGCCCAACCTAAAGCAGTACCCCTAAATAGACCTCTAGGTCTCGACGTCGTTTGCATAAAAAGAGTCACAGTGACCGGTGAGCACAACTGGATGTGCCCCTCAAAGTACAAGCCCAATGCCTGATGGATTTGCCCAGGTACTTCGCCGCCCTCACAGCAGCCGTCCAAAGAACAGGGCGATGCCTCACTGTCGCAACAGAGCAAGCTAGGAAGCTAAGAGGAAAGGCGAGGTTCGAACGAGTACAAGTTATCAGGTACATGAGGCAGCCCACCAGCTCTGCGTAGGGACCACTGGACTCAAAGGGCTCATCAGGAACAGAAGCAGTGAATCTGTAGTCAACGACAAGAGGAGTGGCTTGTGTAATGGAGAATTGAATCCAGAATAACCACTGAAGGACCTGTTGCACCAAGTGTGACTGAGTCATAGTGATGGTACGAGCGACTCTGTCCATGGTGATCTGCAAGCCAAGGTATTGGCGTAGTTCACCAAGTTTAGTGCATGTGTAGGGCGAGCACAGTTCACCAAGGTTAGTCCACGAGGAGATCTGACTACGACTGAACTAACCTTGGTGTCAGTGAGCTAGGAAGCTAAGAGGAGGGGCGGAGCAGCCAGATCTTCTCATGCAAGCGGTCCTAAATTAAGGCAGCGGAGAAGTCGAGGGAGTGCAGTTCATAGTCTCTCTGCGCTGCACTGTAAAGTAACCTAACGAGTGATCATCTTCGGGGTGGGTGCAACTGTCTAAAAGAAGTCAAATCTCTCATTCTGTCTGAAACCTCTAGCTACGTAGCGCACCTTGAAGACAGGCGGAGATCCAAGTGGCCACTTCACCTTGAAGATCCACATGCCATCGACTGTGTTTGCACCAAGAGGGGGAACTGCGTCGATGTAGGTGTCTGGACCTGTAGGAGGCCATCTCTGCGTCCATGGCAGCTCTCCACTGAGAGTCCCACGGCCCTGACACTGCCTCACAGTGCGAGCGAGGGGTCGGAATGTCATGGGCATCGGGGTCTCCCTCAGGGGCTAGTAGCATGGCACATGGATGAGGAGAAGCGGCTGCCAAGAACTCCAGCTCAAACTGCCTGTCCTCTGGGACATCACAACCAAGGGCGGATTCACTCTCGACCGACAGAGGACGGATAGGAGGAGCAGCCACCACCCGGGTGGCGTAGTCAAGGCGGGAAGTAGTGGTGAAGTCAGTGACGAGTTAAATTCGCGTTTGTGTAGAAAAAGCGGTAGAATCATTTGCGCCCAGGTTTCTGTCTCACCTCACCACGTGTTTACTTCACGATCGTCACGAAAGGTCGCCGAGTCGCTCATAATCCGTCTCAATGCTAACGAAAGCAGTGTACTTGTTAAAATCGCGGTCGTCGAAAGCAATCTGCAATTTTTTTCGTTTTCGTTAGCACAACACGTGTTCACTTCCCGATCAACGTTAACTAGTTGCGTGTCAATATTTCAGTGGTTGACGAAGGCCTTTGTCAGTGTAGTCTTCGCTACAAGCGCTGAGCACGTACACACACGAATATCTTAGGCAAGCTATTCGTGTGCACTGTGCTTCACCCGCTTCCCCAAACCAACCAAGTGTGCACACGTCAACCGCGGCTGCTTTTGACGGGTAGCCGTCCACGTCGCAGGAACAGGCTCCAAAAACATGTTCGCGGGTGCCCGTGCACGAACACACGCGCGAAATGTGCATCGTTCCCAGAATACTCCAGCTCACTTTCACCCAGCCACGACGAGAAGCGGGCATCCTTTTTCGCCGACGCGAAAACAAATGCGCCGAAAACAGGCTGCGGGTACCCCAAGAAAATGCACAGACGCACCCGCGAAATTGTGTATCGTCGTGGGGAACACGAAAGGTTTACATCGTGGAACCGTGACCCGCCCAGCTGCCTTGAACGTGGTGCTGTTCGCGGATGCCCCAACGGACGATTCGAATGATAACGTTTTTTAGCACGGTTTGAATCGGTTCACTAAGGCATCTTCGAAATTCTTGATGTTGACACACTGAACCGAATATCATCGTAGTTCATCACGAATGCACCACACCTTCAGTGCATTAATGCACCATCGTGAAAATGGCGTTTGAGGGGTCAACGTATCCCAAAAACTCGAAACCACCCGCTGCCCGAACAAATCACGTGAACTGGTCTCGAATCGTAGGTGCCCCGACGCATGAAATCCCATGAAAACGTACATCCAGGAAACACGAAATCATTTCGCGCCTAGAAATATATCTCTTTAACACGAGAAACGGAGAGCATGAGAAATCAGCAACACTCTAAAAGTCATTAAGGCAATACCCGAAAATAAACCCTTAAGCGAACACGCCTCGATCACGTATACGGGCTTCGAAAAAATGCCGTACGTACCCCAATACACCTAGCCCTCGCCAATTTCACGCCCTGCAACTTGTTTCGGAAAGCACCCTGAACCCGATGTTGGCTTGATTGATGAACTCCCCGAATTTGAAGGCTATAAACATCCCAGACAAGGGTCGAGGTATTAATAAAACTCCCGCGCTTATGCCGGAGCGAGTCGACCATAGTTTTTCACGCTACCCGTTTTTCGTCCCCTCTAACTCGTCTGAGACAACTGAATCGTACCCTATTTAAAACGAAAGCATTAGGAACAACCTTTCAATATCGGGTAACTCAAAAATAATTACATAGGGGGTGAAATTGGCCATAGTGAAGTTGGCGCGGGCTAGGTGTACACACCTTTCCGTGAAAATGTGCACCCAAGAAATACGATAACCTTTCGCGCCTCTAATATCATGACAATGCAAAAACACCCATGTGAGTGAGACGGGGATTGTATCACGGCGAACAAAAACAATCATTGATTCGCACAGTTGTTGTTTTCATATTCGCGAAGCTTTCCTACTTCGTTAAACGATATGTAACATATTCGTCAAAATTGCTTTTTGACTGGTTTTGCTTACGATTATTGGCTTACGACTGTCGCAACTTGTTACACTAGAAGTCCTTTCGTGTACAAATAACGGGCTCTACAAAAATGCGCCCTTCCACGAAAATACACGTTTGCAGGTGTATCACGATTGAATTTCGGTCGGGATTCGGGTAGGAGATTCGTGACACTTACCGTATTTAACCGTAATACATCAAATGAGACCGCCATAGAACCTACACGCCGAATTACCCCCGTAAAAACCACGCTAGGTCAACGTGCGAAAATGAGAACCGCGAAAAAATAATAGCTGAGAATTCTGGTCCACCCTTCACACGGTTAGGCCACAAGTGCGAAACTTGACAGGTGCTGGAAAAAAAAAAAAAAGTATTTGCACCGTTACTCATCGAATTAGACCGTAAATAAATGTACAGAAGAAACCCAAATTGGCCAACGCGCGAGAATACCTCGTAAAATAGACAGCCACGAAAATAACATTTGTTTCCAAATTCTGGTTCACGCTTCACGCAAAAGCGGACTTGTGTCAGTACTCCATCTGAATTTAATGCACGAATGGTCGACAAATATTT